TTCAAACTCTTACTGGTTTTGTATTTTTACGCATCGGATTGAAATGTACAGCCAGAACAAGAACTTCATTATTATCTGATTTGATAACAATTATACCCGTAACGTCTTTTCAAAAAACATAGCATTAGCGTGAAAAGCATGCATAACAACTAATTCTTGGTTACAACCTAGAATTGGACAACTGATAACACCACCGTCTGTGAGCTTTTGATCAATTTCCCGGTTCTGATATCCCCCTGTAAATACAATGCTAAATTTACCCTGTCTCTGTTGAGCAAAAAACAATATGGCATCCCTAAGTCTTATGTAAGCTTTGTGCTTTGAGCTTTGAGCTTTCAGTTGGTCTGACTAATGTTATTCGGTAAGAAAAACTGGTATTTTTTGCAAAATTGTTGTCATTAAACGAGACGTTTTGTCATGAAAAAAGATCTCTGTCTATCATTTTAATCACACTGTCGAACGCCAGATCATACGCCGATTTATAAATGAATTGTGATCAAATGTGCTGCATGATAAACTGCATTATTGAGAAAATTTCTTGATCGATTCACTTCACTTTGTTCCAGCGTTGCCTGTTTTGACAGCAGCATCATTTAGATTGTTTAACCTTTCAGCAGATGAAATGGTATATAATGTTTTTCACGTTTTTATGAGGCATTTTCTTACAAATTATACACTTTGATGTATTGAGAGGGTCAACACTACTTTCAACCAGCAAATAATTTGATAAATCTGTCTTCATATTTGGTGTTTCTATCTCATCCGAAGATCGTGTTACTAATTTCAAATCTGCTTACTAGTGAAGTTTTAAAAAAAGACCTACAACTTCAAGGCGCCTTTTCTTGGCATCGGACGGAGCCAGTTTTAATGTTCTGGTGTAATTGTCCATTTACTTGAATATACAACAAATTCAATACACCTGAAAACCAAACGAACCCTACACGTTCCGGGTTATATTCAATAAACACGACATTCACGATAATGCATTTGTCAACTTCAACTTCAAATGCATCTTTTCGAGGCATCGGACGGAGCCATTTTTTAAAAAATGAAAATGTGTAATTGTTCATTTAACTGAATATACAACAAATTAAACACACTTGAAACCAAACGAACCCTATACTTTCCCAAAACCTATGTCTCCTCTTCCGCGACTTTCGTCGCGGGCCAAACACAAATTTAAAAAAAAAAATCAACTGTTTATCCGTCCGGACCCTGACCCGGAGATTTATTTATTTTTCAAAATACCAACTGAAGCCGATTTTATTTCATCTTGTGTAACATCAGTTTCTATCTTCATCGGGTTTTTTTTTCGGAAATGAATTATAAAACTTCCTTTGCATTGCCGTTATTTATTGACAAACAAGAATATAAAAGAAAAACAAAGGAACTGGGGTATCCATCAATACTAGAATATAAGTCTTTATAAAATGTATACACTTCTTCTAAAAGTTCATCCGTAGTTAATACCTTATACTCAGAAGATTTTAATTCTTGTATTGTGTTATTATTTTCTTTATATTTTTGGTTCATTCAACCTATGCCAACATTTTTTCTTTAATTTAGGTATAAAATTGTATGAACAAATGTTGGCATAGGTTGAAATATTTGTTACATACTAAGTGTTATAAAAACATGAATTGATTATAGGCTAATCAATTTACAACCCGTTTAAACTTAGCGTTAAAGTGTTCTCAATACCACGTACGAGTGAAAATGTAGGTAATTGTATGGGTTGATGATCTCTATTTCATATACGAAATAATATGAAATCAATATAATAAAATAATTAAAAATAAGGATTTTATAATTTTATTAAAGGAACAATCATCTATTCATATTAAATACCTACCAGTGTTATTCTCATGAATAATATTAAAATATATGATTAAATTATTCAATTAAATTTAATTTAATTTAATTTAATTAATTGTAAAGAGTTATCTCATTGGCAATCATACATGTACCACATCTTCTTATTTTTATATTGACTGTATTATTCCTGTCATTAATCAACAATTGTTATGCAAACACCCTTTGTATATTGTTTGCAGGCATAGGATGAATATATATTTATCAAATGTTGGCATAGATTGAAGACACCATATTTTTCAAGTTTCAGTTTTTATCTCTATCTATAGCCCATTTGGGCTATTGAGTGTAATAGTGCACCTTTACATATTTTGTCTTCATATTTTTCTTTTCAGTTAAAGTTTTATTTCTTCAAATTTATTAACATCACAAATTACATTATTAACAGCTTTCGAAGACAATTTTTCATATTCACGTTGAAGTTTGAAAAATTCGACTTATATATTTTTTTATTTTATATAATCATATCAAATAAGGGGCCCGTCATTGAAAGGCTACAACTTTTTTCACCTCCAATTAACTGGGAAATGCTTTGAACAAAATCAGCATCATGTAGTTATTAATTAATGAATATCCACAAACCTGGACCATTCTCAATTTCAGTTAAATCTATATTTAGATTGACAAAATAATGGTCGCTGCAAGTATTATGTTTATAATAAATATTTTTAACAAACTAAGAAAATGCTTTCGGAATCAAATTGTAAACAATCCTACTTCATGTACTTTGAATACGAACATTTTGCAAGACTCGACGCCAAGAGAAGAAAGGTGCAGGCTGCAATAATATCTTTTCCTATTTGCTTCTCAACACTTTTGATGACTGCACTTGCAGAAATTGTTTTATTGCCACTTACCTCAACGAGAAAAGTTTGTTTTTGCACAGTTCGTTCAGCATCCTTTTAACCAGGCATGGTGAAAGAAGGTTAAAAAAAACAATTAAAGTTTAAAAAAAAGGTCACACTGGGACACAATATATGTAAAGAGCATAGATTACCTGAAGCTACAGATGGTTCGTCCAAGGACGAGAAAAGCTTCGATTTATACAAAAAACGATGCGTCATTCCTTGCTGATAACCAACCAAAACAAAACGCATGTACAAAACCTCTTGACAACCAATTGGTTAAAATTCAGACGTCTATATTCGGTAAATCATCCATAAATTAATTCTACAATAGTAATGATATACACTGGTACAAAGTAAAATAACAAAAATACTGAATTCTAAGGAAAATTCAAATCGGAAAGTCCCTTATCAAAAGGCAAAATCAAAAGTTCAAACACATCAAACCAATAAAAAACAACTTTCATATTTCCAACTTCGTACATGCATTTCCTTAAGTAGAAAATGGTGGATTATCCTGGCTTTATAGCAGTCTAAACTTGTTACTTGTATGACAGTCGCATAGAATTCCATTACATTGACGACAATGTGTGACAATAAAGAACCAAATATATTAGGTAAAATTGTCAAAAATTAAGGTACAGGAGTCAACATTGTGTTATAGTATTAATCACTATAAAACAACTATGTCAACAAAGAAAACGTAATGGCATATAGACAAAGCACATTAGAAAAAATAAAAGACAAAAACAAAAAATTATCATAGCATAATAACACAATGACGGGATGTATAAATATCGAGCAACGCCAAAAGTGTATTACCAAAAACAGATACACAGGGCTTGCACCGATATAAAATATATATGTTGTGTACAAATGGTAATGTTGTACAAATTATAATTTGTACAGAATTTTTGTACAAGTTATCAGTGTTTTATAAAACGCTTAACACAAATGGATGATAAAAACACACAGCCTTTTGTTTCGTATATTTCTGTCATATTTCCATGACTACATGACACAGTCTAATACTGAGCATTGCTACAAAACATTATAAGAACATTATAGAGTGAATCAATATTAATTCTAAAATATGCCTTCTTTAATGACCTGATAACAGTAACGTAGCTATATCCCACTCAATAAGTCTGATTAAAGGTTTGGTAAGCTTTTGGAGTGAATGAGGACATGTTTGTGCTTTGTATAGAATATAACCATAAAAGATTGGATGTGAAATACACATGTATCTGAACGTATAAGATGTCTGCATGTCTATTTATATTTACGAATGATGTCCTTGTACCGATGATAACATTTAGTAAATGTTTTGACAAACTTGGGATATCGAAAACCCCGGTGTAATTATTTTTCAGTAATACAGAGATTTCTTTCGTTAAAATCAAAAACGTTATTACATACACGAGAGAATCGAACACGTTGAGATGTATAAACACCATAAGATGGTGACAAGGGAAAATCACCATCTAAAAAGGGATAATTAATAATAGGAAATGAAAACTCATCTCTTTTATCGTAAGTTTTGGTATTAAGCTTCCCGTTAAAGATATAGATATCACAATCCAGGAAAGAGTAGTGTTTATTGTCAATATAAGCTTTATTTAAAGTCAGCTGAGCAGGATAAATCTCTTTAGTGTACATACTGAAGTCGTCATTATTGAGAGCCAATATATCACCCAAATATCTAAAAGTGTAATTAAATTTTTGTATCAGATGTTGTTTTGTTTTCTAATATATATATAAACTATCTGAAATATAAGTTGGTAGCCGTTTTCCGTTTTGTTTTATTTTGTGTGTAATTGTTGATAATTTTGTAATAAGAACGAATTTTCCCGTTTATTTCTCGTTTATTATTGGATTTTTTACGTAAAGATGATTGATTACACTCAAGAGTAAATTGTGATGTGCCTAGAATTAGGGTTCTTGCGAGAAACTCTGTATTAACATACATACTTTACTTGTAGCCTTATTTTGTACATAACGGATAATTATAATATTCAGAATCATAATAATTCACTTGAAATTTCAGTTCAGTAAAATGAAAGTGCATTCGATTTGTTTTTTCATATCATTTCATGATTTAAATCCACCATCTGACAGTTTATATTTATATTAAATTATGAATACAAACGTCCGGGTTCGTGGTATCTTTTCCGGTAAATAAAATCAAGTGTATCTAGTTTATTGAATTGTGTGGAGTTTATTGTTTTCGTGGAACTGACTTATCGAAAGTGGGTTTCTTCCGGAATTTTTATATTGTATTTTTATTTTTAGTCTTTTTTAACACATTCAACATTCTGATTTTCATTTTCAAGGAATAAATACTTGATTAACTCCATACGTATCAGGCACAAGATATTTAAGTCGTATGCTTATGAAATAAGATTAAATAAGCTCAGGCACGGTAAGAATTATGTGTATTCGTTTTAGTTAATCATCTGTATTCATAAAATTGGTATCAATCTAGTTCTTACATACTCCGATTTTAATTGGTAAAACTATTTTTTTGTGAGATTTAAAATGTTGTAATTAGACACGATAAAAGTGTATTGTAGTGTAAACGTATCAGTATTCGCAAAAAATGAGTGTGAGTACCTGTATTAAATTGAAGTATAAAGGAGACTGAACTTTGTCGGTTTACTGTTCTGTTTACAATTGTTTGTCTCTTCAATTCTTATTTTTCGAAGGATTTTATTTTTCCATGATGTTTTTAACCTTTCTTCCTAATACAAAACAGCATTTGCTTCCGTCAAATCACCAATTATTGGCTGCAAAACTATAACTACAGTACTGTTTTTATATAATTTAAATCATAGTTTGGTCTACGTTGCTTACAAAATCTTATCTAAATGAAATATATTTGAAAAGTGTATTCAAATTATATTTTTTTGCAATCTTTAATGGGTACAAACTCATATAAATGTCCCAAAATATAAACATGCACTGGTAGAGATTTGTGTGTAAAATGTTTCACATTTATTATTTTCATGTAATATTCATCATGTTCATATTATTTATTGTTTTTAATCTTCGCGATAATGTTGTCTTTTTTTTTTTAATTTTGGCATTCTAATTATTTCAATATCAAAACAGAGATTTAGCACCTTTTGTAGCTGACTATGCGGTATGGGTTTTTTTTCATTATTGAAGACCGTACGATTACCTATAGTTGTTGATTTCAGTGTCATTTGGTCTTTTCTGGAGAGATATCTCATTGGCAATCATACCACATTTTCTTTCTTTTTTTGTATTTACAAATAAACCTAGGGACTTGGATGCTGTTTATTTTATGTTGACATTACACGATGTATTTGACTGCACACACTTATATTCCCCTTTCTTTGTGTATTGTTTTCGGGACAAAAACAACGAAAAACGTTTCTAAAAAAATTCATCGGAAGATTCCAAGACCTTGTTGATAAATATTCCGCATCAACTTCACAAATGATACATGATAGTATAGATTCTAGGTACTGACTTTGTTTATCGTCTTAAGTATGTGTTATAGTGTTCTTTTATGTGTTTTTGTAAATTATTTACCTTTATTGTTAAGTACATTTTTTGGTAATATCATTTTGGCGTGGCTCTGTACTTATGGATCCTGCCAATGTGTTGTGCTGTGGTCATTTTTGTATTCTTGTCTTTCATTTTTGCTTATTTACCTTGTCTATCTGCCATTTTGTTTTTCTATGTTGACATATTTGTTTGTTCTTGAATGTGATTGAGATTATAACACATTGTTGACTGCTGTACCCCTTTTTTCACGACATTTTACCTATTATATCTCTTTGTTTTGTTCACACATTGTTGTCAATATAATGGAATTTTATGCGACTGTCATACAAATGAGAGGTTTAATCCACCATTTTCGAAATAAGGAAATGCCTGTACCAAGTCAGGAATGTGATAGATTTTTTACATTCGTTTGATGTGTTTCAGCTTTTGATTTTGCCATTTGATAAGGGACTTTCCGATTTGAATTTTTCATGGAGTTTGTTATTTTTGTTATCTTACTTTTTACACATCGAAATAATGTGGAAAAAATGCAAAAAAAATTGCTATTTGAGGTATTTTGACATTTTAGAATCACTTTTATATTCAAAAATTCTACCACCAAATAGGAGTTGCCTCATGGGATTTTTATACTACATAGGTAAGAATTTACATACACGGAAGGATATAAACACTTGAAAGATATCAAGATTGAAATGTTGCACCCAAGGTGCGCGTTCCGTCTACAAAAGACTCAGTGACTGCCGAATAAAAAAAGTTTAAAAGACCAAATAAAGTATGAATATACACATAAAAAAAGACTTGTATACTATATCGGGTTGACACCACAAGTTTAAAGTTTTAGAAGACACTTTTGAAATAGTAACTGCAGTATAAAAAAGACGGATTTGTCCACAAATATATCGATAAAGTGACAACTATATACAGCATGTACTATCAACTTCACAAACTTTTTATCCGCGTCTTTATCAATTTAATATCAACTACAGCAAATTTCTTGATGGCGTCTTTGTCATATAGGTTTGGGGTTTAGCTAGCAAAACAAAAGAGGTTTAGCTAGCCAAAAAAAAGACGGTTTAGCCCCACACTTACGTCGGAAAATGAGTGTACTAAGTCAGGAATATATCACTTGTTTTCAACTCGGTGTGTTGGTTTTTAAATATTTGTTTGTCAGTTTTTAATTTGCTTTGGAGTTCAGCATTTTGTCATACGTTTTTACAATAAAAAGCTAAATATAGAAAAAATATCAACACTTGGTATGTGTTTTTTAAACTAAAAAAACGCAAGGATTAAACAGCCTAACAACCCCTAACGGGAGGGATCGTGCTTGATTTTCATATGATGAAGACATAATCTTTCAATCAGTTTAATTGAGGTCCGGAGCTGGCATGTCAGTAACTGCTAGTAGTCCTTTGTTAATTTATGTATCATTGTCATTTTACTTAATTTCTTTTGTTACCTATTCTGACATCGGCCTCGGACTTCTTTTAAACTGAGTTTTACTGTGCGTATTACTGTTTTTTCTACATTTGCTAGAAGTATGGGGGAGGGTTGAGATCTCACTAAACATGTTGAACTTCGCCGCATTTTTGCGCCTGTCCAAGTCAGGAGCCTCTGGTCTTTGTAAGTCTTGTATGATTTTTAATTTTAGTTCATTTATATGTTTTGGAGTTTAGTATGACGTCCATTTTCACTGAACTAGTACACATTTTTGGGGCCAGCTGAAGCCCGCCTGCGGGTGCAGGATTTTCTCGCTGTGTTGAAGACCCTTTGGTGGACTTGTGCTGTTTTCTGCTCTTTGGTTAGGTTGTTGTCTCTTTGACACATTCACCATTTCCTTTCTCAATTTTTATTTTGTACCCAATAAAAATGACTTTTCAGACCTTGGTCACATATTGCTGTTACACTCTAGATAAAGATGGTACATGTACAAGCTTTTATAATGTTCACAAAAAAAATGAACTTACATTCATCCATAAATGTACCCTGATTGTGGGAAAAATCCAAGTGATATACATTAAATTGACACTGTATGGAATATCTGATATTTACTGTATTTTGGCCACTAAAAACAATAGAAATTATCAAGGGTTCGCTAAAAGACCATACGTTTTTTTTTTTTTAGCCAATTATTATGACTCATTTTAATCCACTCTTATGCGATGTATTATTCAAATTTGCTTGTTTAATTTTCTAGTTGCAAAATGTTTAGTTGTTGCAAGTCACAAATTGAAGACGCCAAGAAGAATATTTCAGATAAGGTAGCTGAGAAGACAGGAATTTCATCGGATGCATTAGAAAGTAGTATGTATTCATCTGAGTCATCATCGGATCTGCGCTAACATGTGAAACAATATAACATATGCCCATTCGGAGCATGATCTACTTACATTTCCAGACCACCTGAGATCACTCTCGCATTTTGTTGGGTTACGTCAGGTTACCTATGGTTCGATATGAAATGTTGTATATACTAGTGACTAGTGAATTAGTTTTGGGTTTTTTCCATGAACTTTTCATTTTTTTAGTGAACGTTGACTTATTAACAAAAATTTGTTTACACCGTCTTGGCAATTTAATTGAGTTGAAATCAGAAACTGTGACAACTTTGTACTTGAAATGTTGATATTATAATTCCCTTACTATTTGCAAAACAATGATGCCTTGTAAACATACGTTTGCATGTTATAAAGTATGTTTCCCCACTGCGTATACTATTTCTCCTATTGTGAGTATAGCATTTCCTAAACATTCTGTGAGTATCGTTCTTGGTTTGAAATAGTTCTTAATTTTATCCTTTGTTCATCTATATTCTGCCGGATAATAATTATCGGTCACGTTTTAAAGCACTGTACATGTAGATATCCGGTCAATGATAAGTATTGTTTTTATTTTAGTTCAGAGTGGTGATATATTGGAAGGTGCTGCTAAAATGGCTGGAGCTGAAGGTATTGCTGAAGCTGTAAAGGTCGCAGGAGATGCTGAAGACACTTGTGAACTTCTCCAAGAATGTTGTACCGTCATGTGATATGTTTCAATCTTATGTCATCTATTCACTATTAGCTTGCTTTGTCAACGGTGATAACATTTTTTTTTATTTTTTCAATAAAGAGAGAGAGAGAGAGAGAGAGAGAGAGAGAGAGAGAGAGAGAGAGTTGAGCACTCACAAACATGTTAAAACCCGCCTAATGTATGTGTATGTGTAGTGTCTATCTTATTTGTTTTTTGATTATTATTTTGTACATAAATTCAGGCCTTGGCTTATCTCGTTTGAATTGTTTTACATTTTGTCATGTCAGGACTTTTATATCTTACTGCACGGTATTGGTTTTGATCATTGTTGAAGGCTGTACGGAGAAAGAGAGGCAAAAGATACAAAAGGGACATTCGAACTCATTAGTCGAATATAAACTGACAACGCCCTGATTTAAAAAAAAGGAACAACAGACAAACAACAGTACACAAAACATAACATAGAAAACTAAAGACTGAGCAACAAAACCATTATCGAACAATGTTGATGATCTCAGGTTCTCCGGAGAGGTAAGCAGAACCAGCTCCACATGTAGCAAACATGTTTCACCCCGCCTTACTGTATGTGCCTGTCCTAAGTCAGGAACCTGAAATTCAATGATTGATGTTAGTGTCTATCTTATTTGTTTTTCGTTCATTGATTTGTACATTAATCAGGTCGTGGCTTATCTTGTTTGTATTTTTTTTACATTTTGACATGTTGGGGCCTTTTATAGCTTACTGCAAGGTATTGATTTTGATCATTGTTGAAAGCTGTACGGTGAAATAGAGGCAAAAGATACCAAAGGGACATTCAAACTCATTAGTCGAAAATAAACTGACAACGCCCTGATTTAAAAAAAAGAACAACAGACAAACAACAGTACACAAAACACAACATAGAAAACTAAAGATTGAGCAACAAAACAATTATCGAACAATGTTGATGATCTCAGGTTCTCCGGAGAGGTAAGCAGAACCTGCTCCACATGTAGCAAACATGTTTCACTCCGCCTTACTGTATGTGCCTGTCCTAAGTCAGGAACTTGAAATTCAATGACTGATGTTAGTGTCTATCTTATTTGTTTTTTGTTCATTGATTTGTACATTAATCAGGCCGTGGCTTATCTTGTTTGTATTTTTTTACATTTTGACATGTTGGGGCCTTTTATAGCTTACTGCACGGTATTGATTTTGATCATTGTTGAAAGCTGTACGGTGAAATAGAGGCAAAAGATACCAAAGGGACATTCAAACTCATTAGTCGAAAATAAACTGACAACGCCATGACTAAAACAGAAAAAGACAAACAGACAAACAAGAGTACATAAAGCACAACATAAAAATCTAAAGACTGAGCAACACGAACCCCACCAAAAACTGGGGACGATCACAGGTGCTCCGGAATGGTAAGCATATCCTTCTTCACATGTGGCAACTGTCGTGTTCTTAATGCAAGTAAAAACTTGGTAATAAGTCTAATTCGGTATATACATGTATGAAGGCGCTACTGGAATGTTCATAATTGGGAAGCCGAAATCTTCTCTTTTGTCGTAAAGTTTTGTTTTCAACTGACCTTCATTGTCAATTTCCAGAAATAAGTTAAGATATGACGGAGTCTTATCTGTGTCTGTTGTGTCCTTTTTTCAAGTTCGATCGGATATATACTTTCAACATTATCACCAAATTTTGAATTACAAATTGAGAGTACATCATCTATATAGCGGAAAGTGAAGTAAAAGAAACTGATAACTTCTCTTCTATCTTTCCTAAGAAATTTCTGTATGAAGTCAGCCTCGTATGAATAAATAACAAGTCGGCAAGAAGAGGAGCACAGTTTCTTCCCATAGGAATGCCGATTATTTGTTGAAAAACACGTCTTTCAAACGTGACATAAATGTTGTCAATCAAAAAATCAATCATCTTCATAGTGTCAGTTTTAGATAATGTCTTGTTTAAATCAGAGTGTGTTTTTACAAGAGACGATTTAGCCCTCCCTAAGACAAGATAATTGTATCTACGTTGGTCATTATTTTTTATGAAACAAAGCAGAACCAAACTCTGTTAATTTGTCTTTTAGTTTGGAATCTTGTGTAAAGTGTACAAAAGTCAAATGTTTGAATACTATTGCAAGACGAAAGCGTCTTAGATTGTTTGTACCATAAAAGATCTGTGGGTCTATTTAGTATCGACATCCGATTCACGCAATTTCTAGAAAAAGTTTGAAAACCGGCTTCGATTGCTGATAACATTTATGTTAATATTTTAGAAAGAGGTTTCAAGGATCACCTGGGAGACCCAGCAATATAACGTTATTTGTAGTTATTTGTAGTTTATATATCCAATACAGTGAAGGAAGATCCAGTTATTCATCTTTGTTTGAAATTCCAATGAAAGGAACATACATCATCAGACCTATGATTATATAGGATTTCCCCCTTGGTAAGTGTCGGTTGTGGGGTATATGTTGAGTTTCAAGTAGTTTGTCATTACCTAATACATTAATCAAGCTGTTAATGTAAAGTGGTTTACACGCTGAAACGTTTAGGGTTTTATTTAAGGGGTCAATAACATATTTGATATGAAGGTTGGACAAGTGTTTTGCAACATTTTGGGTTTTAACAGTTTGATATAGCATGGGTATTCATAGACCCATTCAGTTTTTTTTTTTTTTTTTTTTTCTTTTTTTTTTTATTCTGATTTCTATCAACAACCTCACTGCCTTAATCCATTTGGAAGAGTATCTACGTTTTCTTTCTCGCGATTAACCCATTGCCTGTTTTCCAATTGATGGATAAGGGTCCCTATATTTCGGGCCTATGTATAAGAAGAAGTGTTTTTGACAATGTTTAGGTCACGAATTATAAAGTGGCCAGTAGGATTATATATGAATGAAACTACCACATGTGCAACCAGGAAGTTTAGAGTTGAAGTCGTCAATATTGATATCCTGCAACACGTGTTTGAAATTAAAAAATTGAGATGCAACTGATCTTGTAAAGGTATAAGAAATGAAAGGAACAATTTGATCTATGAAATAGGGAGGTATTTTCGAGTAAACTGATTTATGATGAAGGATATCTCCCAAGTTGATCGCATCGAAACCTGTGTTATTGAAGGAAAGTTTTAGAAATGATCTTTACTCCTTTTCATCTTTTCCAATGCGAACTGGTTTGAAAAGTCTGTGACGGGAAATATTCGATATGACAGCTGTATGTTTGTAACAGTTTGAATTTCCCAAACTGTTTGACAAAAAATACTGTACATATAAACCATGCAAATAAAGACATTGACACATCTAAAGAAAGTTGACATTCTTGCATACAGTAGTTTAAATTTGAACTGTTTAGCATTTACAGCAAATATAATAAATCAAACATAAAACACCAAATAACACTAACTTAAAAAGAAAATAACCTCGTTTAGTTCTTTGATAGGTCTTGGCTTGAGTTGGTGTCATTTGTTTCCTTCTTCATAAACACATAAATTGGTGATACTTAACATTGATACCAGACAATGTGTATTAACGTTATAATGACGTATAAATACATAAATCAACTTCATTGAATGTCTCGATAAAATGTTTTTCCGATACTTTCTGTTATTGTAATTTTTAGTTGATATTAATAAAATACGAATATTTTACTTTCACCTGGCAAACTTGCTATAATTGAAATGGAGTACGAGTCCATTAACAGAAATTCAGAGACTATACAGAATGGTACTTGACTTGTATTTTGTCGTTGATAAAGCCATATATATATTACAAATAAAAAGGTCAAAGGCAATTTTAGTTCATTCATTAAGACGCAAATGTAATTGTTAATAAAATTGAGAATGGAAATGGGGAATATGTCAAAGAGACAGACAACAACCCGACCAAAGAGCATAAAACAGCGCAAGGCCACCAATGGGTCTTCAACACAGCGAGAAAATCCCGCACCCGCAGGCGGACTTCAGCTGGTCCCTAAACAAAAAGCCGTACTAGTTCAGGGTAAATGGACGTCATACTAAACTACAAGACGTATAAACAAACTAAAATTAAAAAGACTAGAAAAGAACAGAGGCTCCTTACTTGGGACAGGCGCAAAAATGCAGCGGGGTTAAACATGTTTAGTGAGATGTCAACCATCCCCCTACACCTCTAGCCAATGTAGAAAAAACAAACACACAGCAATACCCACAGTAAAACTCAGTTTAAAAGAAGTCTGATCCGATGTCAGAATAGGTAACAAAAGAAAGTAGGCAAAATGAAAATGGTACATAAATTAATAAAGGACTGCTAACAGTTACTAACATGCCAACTCCAGACCTCAATTAAACTGATTGAAAGATTATGTCTTCACTATATGAAAATCAAGTACAATCCCTCCCGTTAGGGGTTTAGTATCATACCATCATAAAATATATGAGAATAACATAACCCGTTTCTGCCAACACTTGGTTCTAGAATGATTGTGTTTATTTCAGATGCAAAGACCCTATGAGTGAATCAATATGAATACCAAAATATGCCATCTTTAATAACCTGAGAACAGTATTGTATATATATCCCTTCTAAATAAGTCTGTCTAAAGGTTTGGTTAGCTTTTGAGGTGAATGCCGACATTTCTGTGCATTGTAAAGAATATTTTCATAAAAGATTGGATGCGAAATACCTGAACGTATGAGATGTCTACATGTTGAAATATATTTACGAATGATGTCCTTGTACCGATGATAAAATTAAGTAAATGTTTTGACAAGTTTGTGATATCGAAAACCCTGGTGTAATTATTTTTCTGTTTTACAGAGATTTCTTTCTTTAACATCAAAAACGTTGTTACATACATGAGAGATCGAACAAGTGGACATGTATAAACACCATAAGATGGTGACAAGGGAAGGTCATCATCTAAAAAAGGATGATTAACAAAAGGAAACGAAAATTCATCTCTTTTATCGTAATTTTTTGTATTAAGCTTCCCGTTAGAGATAAATATATCACGATCCAGGAAAGGGCAGTGTTCATTCTTAGTAGTAGCTTTATTTAAAGTCAGTTCAGTCGGATAAATCTCTTTAGTGTACACAAAAAGTGTTATTAAATTTTTGTAACAGATCTTGTTTCGATTGGTCTTTGCTGATTTTAGTCATAAATTGTAACTCAAAATAATATAGAAACAGGTCCGCAATAAGTGGCGCACAGTTAGTCCCCATTGGAATTCCGATAGCTTGGCGATATACGGAATCTCAATAACGAACAAAAATGTTATGTAGTAAAAAT